GATGGTAGTGGGGCCCATTAAATCCTAGTTCTTCCTCTTTCCTTGATAGCCCCCTTGGGAATTGTTTCCTTTGCAGATTTAACAAGGAGAGAGAACATTTCTTGAAAGCCTATTGGGCACCACAAATGTTTTGACAGGATTTTATCCTCATCATCCTGACAGTGGTAGGATACAGCACTAGCTCCATTTTACAGATGAGACAAACAGGGGTTGTCGAGGTTTGAGGAGTTAGTCCGAGCGCACGTGTGATGGGACCGCTCTTGGCTTACAGGTGAACCTGGCTGTGAGCTGTTCCCTCCACCACTGCCTCCTGGAGAACCAGGGCTCATCCAGTGATCAAATCTGGGAAGAGCTGAGCCTTTACAGAGCCCACTGAAGGGTTTCTTCAAATCATTAGTTGTCCTTGTGCATCGAAGCTTTGTTTCGATCATTAATTATTGTTCAGTATCTCAGGTGAACAGAGGAACGAAGCTATGCCACGCCCTTCCTTTCTCACTAATACAGAAGACGCACCATCTCTAAAACGATTATGTCAAGGGCGGTAGATGGATCAATGTGGCAAAATTCATCTTTTCAGCATCTCCAGAGCCTACGTTCTGCTCAATGCCAAGGGGTAATAACAATCTGCATAGGTGTGTTGTTCGAGACATTTCTCGGGATTTGAGAAGCTCATCTTCTTCCCATAGCCAACAACAGGGTATCTCAACCTTAGCACTATTGATATTTTCGTCCAAATAAGTTTTCGCTGTTGGGGTCTCCTGTGCATTTTAAGGTGTTTAGCGGCATCTTGGGGCTCTACCCACTAGATACCAGTAGCAGTCCCCCTCCCCAAGTTGTGACAAACAAAAATGTCTCTAGATATTGCCAGACAAATATCTCTGGGGGTCCAGATCACCTCTGATTGAGAACCACAGGCCTACAATATCCCTGGAACCTTGGCCTTTTCCTTCTCTGTTGATGGAGCAGGGTGAGATCAGTTTTCACAAGAACTTAGACATAAGAGAAAAAAGGCTGTTGTATGGGAGTTTCAAATTTAAGATTGCATTATGATAGCACCCTATTTCCTTACTCACACAAGCCCCCAACACAGGGCACCTATTCAGAATAGGTGGACATAGCAACATGCACACACGAACTCATAGAGATACGCAGTGGGACTAGGAAACACACACAGAATCCCTTTTGCTCCCTTTTCCCCTCCCCCTCTCCTTCCCCCTTCCTTTCTTTCTCTTGCTAGTTTAGCTAGTCTTTTGGACTTGAGTCAAGTAGACAGAAATGCACCTGTGCTTTGCCTCCAGGAAGAATCCTGGTTAAGGATGTTACATGTGTAGCTGCATGGTCTCCTTCATTGGCTGGGGCACCATAACTGTCCTATCTCTCTACCTCATCAGTAAACCACTGGTGGCCACATATGCACAAATGAGTAGCAACGCCAGTGTGGAAGCACCCCCTGAGGCCTCCTCATTGCCCTAAGCATCCGCCACATCAGGACTTATTCAGCCCAGGAGGGGCCAACCTCCCCTTACACTCCAAGAGGCTGTGGACTCCAGGCTCCGGCCAATTTTCCTTGGGCCCTATTTACTTCCCGCCGTGGCTGCTGTTGGGATAGTGTGACCCTAGAAAACCGGTCCCATGTGGTGCTCTGAGCCTTTGTCCCCTCTGCGTGGGCCTCAGACGTCCCCCACACTCGGGCTTTTAAAAGTTGTGGTCGTGCGTAATCATTAACCCTAAAGGATGGTTGGCGGGTTCCACACGAGCAGACAGCCGGGGGTCGGGACCAAGTCGTCCATCAGTTCATCCTCTACTTTCCCTGATGATAAATTACTCTCTGTGGAACCTCAGGGATCATTTCCTGCCAAAGGTCCCTAATTAATATCAATTTGATCCATCACAGAGGGTTGGGTCAGATTAACCCACACTTAATGAATGATGCTGTTTTCTTGATTCCTATCCAGGTACGAATGCCTTTGCCTTAGCAAATTTACTGTGTCCTCCTCAGCTTTGCAAACAAGGGGCCCTTCGCAGGCCCTAGGAGGCCCGACCACAGCTGTTTATGAGCTTGACATTTGCGTAACTTTGAGGGCCCCTCGGGTGTCCTGGGGATTAACAATAAATCTTTCTGTGTTTGACCAGACAGGGAAGCATCGAGCTACTTCCTTCACGAAAGAACCTGATGTTCACTGGTCGTGCAAGGACACTCAGGGTCTTCCGAAGGGGGAAAACTGTCTCCACTTGGATGCTACTTGGAAAGTGGCGGGCATAGATCATAAAGGAGGGAACGCCGATGCTCGGCAGCGTGCGAGGTGAGTGAGTGGAGGGAAGCTGTCCCTGCAGTGAGGAACGAAGGGGTCCAGACGGGGCCACTGGAGAGAGCTTAGTAATGCTCTGCATAGACACTCAGCATTTACAGAGATACTGGAGCAACCACAGACATGGAAATAGCATACAGGGGCCTGATCCCATGAGGGGGATGGCTCATCGTGTGAGTGTGCAGTAGAGGGATGACTCAGGAGGGCATTCGAACCATGCATCTGCCAAAGAAAGGTCTGGTCCTTGAACAGTTCCTAGGACGTAACCTCTAAACCCTTGGGATGTATTGCTTGGTAAGTGTCTTTGTATACCCGGGGCTTTGCACCATGCCAGGTAGTCTAAGCTAACAAGGTGCTTTGTAGTGGGCGCCATGGGTCACACAGTGTCAGCTTGACCTCTGGTGGGGCTGGAGCCTGAGTAACTGAGCTCAGCCATGTGGGCATTTCATGTCCCCGCATGACTGACCCCCAGCGAAACCCCTGGACTCCACGGCTCGGATGAGTTTCCTGGTTGACAGTACTCCATACATGCTGCCACACATCATTGCTGGAGGAATTCAGTGCTGTCCATGTGAGTCTGCTTGGAGAGGACACAACCAGGAGCTTGTGCCTGGACTCTGCCCTCTGCGCCTTTTCCCTTGGCTGACCTTAATCTCTACCTTTTTGCTGCACTCAATGGTAAATGTGACTCTAAGAACTTTTCTGACTTCTGTGAGTCCTAGCAGTACATCATCAAACCTGAGAGTGCCCTTGGGCACCCCCAAATACGGTGGGACGCACAGAAGAGAAATCAAGCCCAGACATCACAAAACAACACTCTCCACCTCCCCGTGAGGGAAGGTTCTCATCACCTCCTGTTTAGGGGGCTTGGAAGGTTATGTGGATCGATAGTACAGCAAGTCTGATGAGTTGTAGATAAGTAAGTTTGAATAAACTGTGCAGAGAATTCATATGTGACTCTCTCCAGAGGATGGGTTCAGCTTTCCTCATTTATCCTTGTGTTGCCTTCCTGAAGTCCCAAGTTTAAGCCATGTCAGAGTCTCAGTGCCTGGACTGGTTTGTTCATGCAAGCATGACACCCCACATCCCGTTTCTTCAGTCTCGGTCACCATGGGAGTCCCTTGAGCATAGCTACTAGGTTTCCATGACCTTGGAGCAGGCAAGGGAGTCAGCATCACTGCATTGATTGTGAGAGCTCTAACACGTGGTCTTCCACATTCAATCCCTTACACAGATTCACAGGAGAGAAAGAATTGCTACTTCCAAAAAGACCCACATTCAATTAATTGACGATCTGGCTGCAGCCTGGGTGAATTCTGCAAATGCAGCCAACTTGGGCCAGGGGCCAGGGTGAACAGATGTTGCCCAACTTACTGTTAGGTCCCATTGCTTTTTCAAGACCTCAAACAGACTTGCAGATATTCTCGAGGCATTTTTGTTTCAAGGCTGGAAAAAAAAAAGAGGGAACTCATGGTATGGAGAAGGAAATGCTACAGAGACATAAATTCTGACAGCGCCAGCAATGGCCCAGGCTCTTCCCAGGGGGCCAGTATATGGCAGTGCACAGCACAGGGTGTTATCAGAGTCAACGTCAGAGAATGACAAGGCCCCCTTGCTAGTTAGCAGGAAAGTCATGTTGAGAGCAAAGCCTCATTTCGCCAGTCTCTGCCCAGTGATGTTTTTCTAACACGCAGCTGTACCAACCTCATCTCCCCAGTTTGCACAATGCTAATCTGAACTCATTATGATGTTCCGTAAATGTAAAATGCTGTTTGTGTGGAGATTTTAATGTGGTGAGGACAATAGAAGAGCTAGTCAATAAGCAGTTTGCAAGATTTCCTATTCCCTCTCCCCACACCAGGTAAATAGATTTCTATTTTTGACTACTGAGCCCCTCCAGCACCCCCGGTCCGAATGCTTGGTTTTTATGATGCAGAATACAGGTGACGGTGGAAGGAAAAGACAGCGGAAGGGGGGTGATGGACTTGTATAAGAAATAAGGAAACTGTGTTTGAGAGATAAAAAAGTGAAAGGCAAAAGGAAAAGAAAATAATCAGAGGCGATATGTGGAAACAGAGAAAGAGCCAGAAAGCTTGATTTTAGGAAAGTTATTGAGTGACACGTTAGAAAATGAAGTCTGAAGAGAGGTTTTGAGATGGTAGCTTGTGGGAAGTGAGAGATAATGGAGGGGCAAAAAGAATAAGAAGAGTTTCTGAGAAGTGTCACCATGGATCTCATCTGATATTTTTCAGAAGCCACAAGGAAGGGCTGGGCAGCTAAATTGTGTTTTGTTTGATTGTTTGTTGTTATGTAAAGCATGGCCATGTGACCACCTGCCTTATATTTGGGTTATACTTAGAAAGGATTTTTCACAGAGTTCAGCCTGGTTCCATGCTTTTCAGAAAGCCAGAGTCCCTTGACCAGACAGTTCAGGAGGGTGGCACAATACCATGGCCAAACTATTGGTTTTGGGAACGGACAGACTACGTCAGCCACTTTTGTCGGCAGGAGTAGAAGAAAAAAAGAAGATGTCTGGCATCTCTGAGAATAAATGGGGCTCAGATGCCATGAGGACGAGGACGGAGGTACCATACACATCCACTTCTAGCACTTCAAGCTGCCGTCGTCTTCTTGAATTATTGGTATACATTTTGCTTTGGTCAGGAGTTTGAGTGCTTACATGGTGAGTGTCTCCTGTTTCATTTGTCTTTGTCTTTTTAGCTTACATGGGGACTCAGAGAGGATAAGAAGCTTGCCCAAGAGCACAGAGAAAGCAACAGTGTTTGGCTGGGCTGACTCCTGCATTTTTTTTTTTTTTCAAACTGTTAGGTGAAGGGGATTCAGAAATACCCTAGACTCTTTTTGTCTAGGATTCATGATCACTAGATGAGTTATACTTCCTCCTACTGACCCCGTGCTAAGGCAGGAACATCACTCAGAGTTCTAGAACCTTTTCATAGAACACGATTTACAGTACAGTCCGGCTGTGTACTTACTGTGTGAGTGGAACACCCTTTTCACCCTCTGACAGATGTATGTTGCATTCTTCAGAAACCAGGAATAGTATTCAAGACAATACCTAAAGATTTAAATCAGAGTTGAACGCAATTACTATCCTTTGTGGCTATAAGAAGAGACCCATACTAAAAAAAAAAAAGTCATAATGGCTAATTATTCATAGCAAGGAACTCCCTCTCCATCTTTATAGGCTGTGGGAGGAGAGGTAGAGAATGAGTCTGAGTAGGAAAAAGCTTAGACTTCAGAGTCAGAAAGACTTATTTTTAGTTCTACCATCTTTACTTACTAGAATGTATGACTTTCAGGCTGATTACTTAATTCTCTGGGCCTTGTTTTTTTCATATATAAATGAGAGGCAATAATAGAATCTACACTCATAGGGTATCCTGAGGATGACATGAGATAACATTTGCAAAGTTCCCCAACGGTGCTGGGCTTATCATAGGTGCTGGATCAATGATGATGTTCATTTATTTATTTTTGTGTGAGGTGGAGTAAAAGCGCAGGGCTGTTATAGTCAACAGTGGAGCAAATATTAGCAAAATAATATCCTGCTCTTGGCTGGTGGCCGCAGGGATTGCTTCAAAAGGCTTCAGTGAAAAGGCCACGCATGTCATTAGGAAGAAGAGTTTTCAGGACAGGCTGTGTCACTGGCTTCACATAGGACTCTTGGGAATCCAGTTCCCTTTCAATCCTTCGCCTGAGCTATGAGGAGGTTGGGCTCAATAGTCTCTAACTTCTCTTCCATCTGTATCATTCTGTGATTCTCGCATATTCTGAGGAGCAACCAATTGCTCATGTAAAGCTGACTGTAAAGATTTCCCAGGTTCTGTCACCCTCAATTTACAGGACACTATAAAACTCTGGAAACCGAGGCACAGAGATGTTGCTGCTGGAACTCTGGGAAAAGTCAAAACTCATTTGCAAGACCCAAGTAGATGTTGGGAAGGACAAGGTTTCCTGAATAGGGACATATGCTGGGACAGTGGCCTCCCGTTTTTGCTGTAGCTACCTGGAACTCTCCGTGGTCCTGAGATGTTCCAGTCTGCCTCTCACTCTCCACCATTTTTGCCTGGAGTGGCCTCTCCCATTTTTTGCCCAACAAACTCCCATTCCTCCATAAGCCCTATTAGTTACTTCCTCTGGGGTCCCATGGCTTGTATTCTGCTATACGAGCTTGTATAGCAGAGCTTGTATCTGCTATAGCATCTGTCACACTTCTTTGTAATTTGTCTCTTCACATGGCCAAACTGCCCCACTAAACCACAATTTTTTTTGACCACAGGGGCCGTCCTATTCAACAAGCACACTGAGTAATGCCAGCCTCCTACTCTGTTATTCTTATCCCATATTCAATGCTTACTGTACGATTATAGAACACTTCACTATTAACTTAAAGGGAAAAGAAGGGGTAAGCTCAGTTTTACAGATGCTTCATTTCTCTAAATTTAAACTCAAATTTCTTTCTGGAAGTTTCTGCTTTCCTCATTATCCTTCCAGCAAATATGCAATATGGATGGTTCAAATCTGATTTTCTTCCAAGGGTATGAGATTAGTAGGTTTTGCCTGTGTGCGTGACTTGATTTTGTCACTTACCATGTCATATTTTAATGTGTGTTTATGACCATTTATTCCCCCCAACTATGAAATCCTCAGTTTCTGGGTTTATTTCTGATTTGTCTCTATATCCTGCTGGCTCCTCTCAGTGTTAAATTGATACATAGTGGAGACTTGGCACTTGTTATTGATACAAAGAGCTCCATAGATAGAGAAAGAAGGAAGGAATAGTGGGCTGATCGAGTAGGAAAGTATTGTTGCAAAATGTCCTCTTCTTTAGGATCAGCCTGTGCCGTGGAGAAATGCCTCCACCTTGCTGGCTAACACCTTCAGGTCTGCAAATCTTGCATATCTCCCTCTCTGGGTGGAAGAAGCATCCACTCTGATTGGAGATCCAAGACCAGGGCCAGAAAAGAGTGATGGAAAAAGGCTGCCAACCTGAACTTGGGGCTTAGAGCCCGTGGATAATGGGCATTTAAAAAGCTGAAAGATCTCATAAGTAGACTTTGAAAACAACTTTAAAGATCTGAGAGATTGGCCTCCTACTATTGGAGCAGAAATATTCATCTACCTTGATTGGCTCTGGGTTTACAGCCAAGGATAAATCCCAGAAGAAAGGACAGTGTGTCAGCTTTCCTGGGCAGGAAAACGTCCACACCTAGTCCTTCTTAATCTAAGATGGGGTCTGCCTTCTAATTTTCCATTTACATCTTTATTATTAAGTCAGCAAATGACCGCTAGGGATTTATGAAAAAACTGGAATTTAGGTGGACATAACCTCTGATTAGTCTCTTCTAGCAAATCGTGCCAGGCTGAGGGCATTGGGGTTCCGGGACCACTCAAAATCCTCTGTAATTATTCCAGCAGATGGGACACAATACAAGTCAACTTGACAGCACTGACTGTGTCATGGCCCACCCTTGGCTCTGGGGACCCAGAAATGAATGAGGTTTCATGCTGGTTCTCAAGGAGGTGACAGTGCAATAGAGGACTCACTGGAGCGTGCATTCCTTGAGGTACCCCTGTCATCTGTGTGTGGATTACTTAATGCCTCATCACTTAGTGGCCTGCAGAGGAGTCAAGCAGAATCAGAAGCCTGTAAATACTGGATGTAAAAAGCAGTGAGTGGCTCAGGTTACCTCACTGCCTCCATCCTGGGGTCTCTCTTCCGGCTCATGCAGAGGCATTGCTGGAAAAAGCGGCACAGCTCCATCAGGCAAGGGTTGAGCTTCTGGACGGCCAGCGTGAGAGGAGCAGAGGTCATGGCCGCCTCCTTGAGGAGCGGCTCAGGACACCCTAGAAGATGCAATCCCAGACCATTCACATCAACAGGAATTTAGCATCTTCCCTTTGTCAGGGACTGTGCTGAGTGAATACTGTCTTGCCCCCGATCTCAGGTAGCTCAAGAACAACAGGTAAACATGGCCTTGCTTCACCATGTCTGGTAAAGCTGCTTGTGAGACTTCCCAGAGATAGGTAGAGAAAGGAGGGGGTCTGGTTCCTGGAAGAAATCAGAGATGGTCTCACTGAAATTTTATTAAAAATAAAAGTTCTAATGAGAGATTTTATATTTCTCATTAGATGGCTGGAACGATGGATGGATGGATGGAGCCGTACGGAGATAGATGTATAGATACAGATACGGATAAAGATACAGATAAAGATACAGGTAAATACAGTCAACTTGTTTTCTAAAGCTCAGTCTGACGCCTGCCCCCATCTGCACCACTCTTGTGTTTCTTTAGAACCTGGAGAAAACAGGGCTATAATTTCCTGTGGTAGCATAATCACGTCTTTGTGTCTGAAAGGTCCATTCACCATTCACTGCAGGTTGAGAATGGGGCCGAGGCAGATCTTAGGTCCTATGAAAAAGGAGACGGTGCAGCGTCCAGCAATTTAATAATGCCCCGTTGACATATGACTAGAACATTCAGGTCCAGGAACATTCAGGAGAATCATATTGAAAGGCATCTAGGAGTGGGAGGGACCTGAGGACTCAACCAGCTTTGAAGGACTCACTTTGTGTCAATTTCTCTCTCATGGAAACTGGCTCCACGGGAAAAAAGGAGAGTTTGACATCCAAAAATGGGAAAAATGCAGCGTAAACCACAGAAACTCCAAGTCCTGAGCCTCTGTCAGGGGTCCTGAAAACCCACATCCAAGCCCAGGAGAGGGATTCCCCTAGAATTCTGTAAGAATGACGTGTCCAGGAGTGTCCTTCCACAGGGGATAGAAGTGAATGGCACCCAGTGGCTGGGGGTGGACCTTTGGAGTCATCCTTTTTTCCTTCCCCTCTTTCTGCTAACATCATGCTCATTGTAAGAACAGCTTCCGCTTACAAGGTGTGCAGCACATTCTCAGTGGGTGTCCATTCAAAAACAGGTGATTGAATTAAGTTATATGGAGCTCTCCAGTTCCAAACCACTTCCACACACATTATCTTACCTAATACAAAATGCTGCAGAGAAAATACATTTTTAGTGCCCACGATAATGGTTATTATTCGTGCTTTACAGAGGAGGAAACTGAATTCTGGAATTTGAGCGCAGGAAGTTACCTCACCAGTAAATAGAAGAGCTAGGGGTTAATCCCAGCAGTCTGAATCTAAATTTATCAAACAAACCTCTTTTTATTATACTACACAACTTTGTCCAAAACAAACAAAAGCTATAGGAGCGACAGGGCACTGGTACGTACTTGAAGCCTGGTGGGGTCCTGGGACGAGCACTGGCTCTTCTCCAGGGGTAAAGGGCCACGCAGCAGGGAGATCACCTGCAAGCACAACAATGGCCTCGCAAAGGTCAGAATGAAATGGACCTAGGGTATACACTCGAGCGGAGAATCATGGCATCTTAAAGAGTTCTATAAATCCATAGGGAACTTGTAGTCAAGAAAGAGAGAGTGATTTATGCAAGATCCCAGGGTGATTTAATAGCACAGCAAGACTTAGTTCTCCTGCTCTCCTCCTGCTGGAACCAATAAAATACAATAACAAGCTTAGTCTGCCTACAGGCACCCCCGTCCCGTCCCGCCCCTGAACAATATTTTCCACCTGGGGTATTGGGTTCCTCTTTCCAGGGCCACACTCTTACCTGCCTGTGGATATCTGGGGGCCGGAGCCTTGGTGGGACTTGGAGTCTGTGTGCCAGGGGTGAATGGGCCTGGGATGAGAGGAGAGAGAGGTGAGCTTGAGTTTCTTCAAAGGATGCATGAGCAGAAGAGGCCCCCTGCCACCAGTCCTGCCCTGTTCATCCACTGCTGCTTATCAAGCCAGGTAGCTGGGGGTTGCCGAGGTTGCAGAAACGAGTATGAAATAGACTCTACAGTGGAGGCACCCCCAGTGTTGAGGAGGAAATGGGCAAGTCCCATCAGTAACTGTCATACAGTGTGTTGGTGCCACTGGAAACCCGCTAACACTGGTATGAAATGGGAGAGGAGTGGACTTGCATGGGCCACGGCCCAGCACGGTGCTCCTAGGCAAAGAGGACACGAGATGCTCTTCATTCGCCTGAGTCTGGTTTGCACACTTACTCCGTCCCCACCCCTGTACACTGCCCAGCATCCTCATGATAGAATGTGGGCTCATCTCAACAATTCTTTTGATCCTCTTCATGAAGTCCTGATTTAAGGACCACTTTGGGAAGCGATCCTGCTGTCAAGATGCATGCCTCTGGCAAAACCAGCAAAGCAGCCTTCTTACAGAAAATGAGGGAGAGGAAGAGGAAACAGGCACTTTCCCTCGTGTGGTTAAGCGGAAAGGAAAGGGGTGAGGCCGGGAGTGCAACATGAGCGTGGGGATGGGGGATGGGGGATGGGGCAGGTGACGTCTTCTCTGGGATGGAGAAAGCATAGCCGTAGGTGAGGGGAACAGGCCTTCCAAGCAGAGGAAGGTGCGTAATAAGCAAAGACTCAGAGAAGTGAGTGGAAGGCCATTTGCTATGGCTGGAGTCTGAAGGAAGATGTGGAGGGGTGGGGTGAGGTCTCAGAGCCTGGGCTGGACCCAGTACAGTGTTGCAGTCCTGCTTGTTCCTTATTAGGCTCCTCTGCTAGGATGGTGGGTGTGGCAGCGTTGAGTTCAACTGCCTCAGTAGCAGAGATGGGCAGCATGACACATTTACAAACAGATAACTATGGGCAGGAGGCCCAATGCCAGGGGGCAACCTGGTCGTTTTCTCAGAGCCGGTCAGCATCCTCTTTGTTTTGTTTTTGTTTTTCGTTATTTATTTTATTTATTTATTTTTGGCTGTGTTGGGTCTTGGTTGCTGCGTGCGCACTTTCTCTAGTTGCGGCGAGCGGGGACTGCTCTTTGTTGCGTTGCGTGAGCTTCTCATTGCGGTGGCTTCTCTTGTTGCGGAGCACGGGCTCTGGGCGCATGGACTTCAGTAGTTGTGGCTCATTGGGCTCAGTAGTTGTGGCTCACAGGCTCTAGGCACACAGGCTTCAGTAGTTGTGGCCCACGGGCTTTGTTGCTCCACGGCATGTGGGATCTTCCCCGACTAGGGCTTGAACCCGTGTCCCCTGCATTGGCTGGTGGATTCTTAACCACTGCTCCACCAGGGGAGCCATCAGCATCCTCTTTGGATTCCCCTCCAGGCACTGACTGTAAGCCCCTGAATACAGAAGGCACCGCTGACGCTCGCTGCCTGGGTGTGTTTCTGTGTAGTTCTGGAAGATGAGCAGCCTTAACTCTAACCCAAACACAGAGCTGACTCGTCTGTGGTCACTGTTCACAGTTTAACTAAATGACTGCAGAATCACAGAGGGTTAGAGCTGCAAGGGGCCTAGGGCAAAAGCAGACACATGCTCTCCTATGGTTGACATCCGCTTTGCCACTACCCTCCTGAGCATGTGTCCTGAAGCTGGCTGCTACGCTGTCGCCCTGGGGGCAGTAGGACAGGGCAGTAAGCGTTGCCACTGATTGAGTGATTCCAAGGTGCTCCGTGTGGAGCTGAACACCTTACAGACTTCACTTAACTGAATCAGCACAGCCACTCTGAAAAGTAAGCATCACCTTCCCCATTTCGAAGATGAGAAAACCAGGACTCAGAGAAATCAAAAGAACTGCCTAAGGAGACAACGGTGGTGGAGTCAAGATGTCAGAGCTACCGTGTCCGAAATAAAGGCCAGAGCTCAAAGCCTCAGGGCTGGCTGGCTGCTGTCGCCTGTTGGCCAAACCCAAGTATGTTAGCCTGGATTTTTCCCGATGCCATTATGTCAGGTGTTTCTCTGATTTAAGCTATCAGTTACATTCCCAGACCTTTTTGTACAATTGAGATTTTGCACCTAAAGTTAAGACTTTACATTTGCACCCTTTGAAATTCATTTACTTCTTCCTCTCTACTTCTTCAGAAATTCAGGTAATTCAGCAAGCTTTTACTGGATGTCTGTTGTGTTTCATGGGAACTGGAGAGAAAAGACACAGGCCTTTAAAGAGAACATAGTCCAGAGGGGAGAAAGGTCAAGTTCATGGTCCCTAACAGCACAGCAGTGATGAATGTTACGATCCATTGAAAACAGAAGCATAGAAGAAGGGCCTCTGGCTGCAGAGATCAGAGGAAGTGATTTTAAAAACAGGTAAACCATTTTTGTCTGATCCTTGGAGTAGAAAATATGGAAAATTCATGACACTGAAGTGAAGAAAAATCAAATCGTATCTATTGATACTTCCCAGATGTAGCCAAGGTTAACATGTTGTGAATTTCTTTTCAGTCTTATTTTGGTCAGTTTTTATTTTCTGTGTATCTGTATCACACACGCACACACATACACACATAAATACATAGACAAACACAAAATTGGAATCGCACAGTTTTTCAGAGCTCAGGCCTTCCTCATACTATATGGTTACATTTTAATGTGCCTATCACTATATTTGTATATGTAATTAGTGGCGTAGGAGCGAGCATCCTCTCTTACCTGAGGTTGGGCTGGTCCCTGGTGGGCTGTCAGGCATGGCCGCTGTCCTGGCAGGAGTCTCGGAAAAGTTCTGTGTGTTCGTGGCCTCCTCGGCCTCTGCAGGAGATGTCGGCGGGGAGGAACGTGTTTCCCAGGGAAGACCTCCAGGTGTTTTCTCACTGGTGGCCTGAGCCCAGGGCACAGGTAGTGTGGAAGCCCATGCCTGCCTGCGGGCTGTCACCCATGGAATTCCAGCCACCTTCCCGGTAGCTGCACAAGTGACAGTAACAGGGCAGTTACTGCTTGACTGCTTTGATTCAGATGTAAAATTGACAAGACGTTGACATATAATCTAAGGGTACATGCAGTGCGCACGCATAGTATAGATAATCCAGGGACTTCAACCCTACCCTGAATTGGAATAAGGGGACCACACTAAACTTTGTTTTCCCAACTACTAATTTAAAAAAAGTCTCCAGATTCCTAAGACGCTGAACAATCAGCTAGGGTGTGTGTCCAGAGGACAGTGGACACTGTCAAATTTAAGAAATACTGATTCTAGTCATGTGATACAGTGGAAAGGTTTAAGGTAAGGGGGACCTGGAGGTGTACGTTCTGCCCCCACCTCCTCCATGCTGTGAACTCTGGGGCGAGTTACTAAACTCTTCTCAGCGTTACCATAGAAATGGCAGTGACGATAATGATGACGGCTGACTGACAATATCACAGGACGGTCATTAAGACAAGTCTTCCCTCACTGGTCTTTTAAACAAGTGCCAGGTGTTTTCACTCGTTCATTCCCATGTTAAGAATTAAAATACATTTTTTTCAGGTTGTACAAAACTTATCCCCTGGGAGGATTTTAAATCTATAAGTTAAGTTGGGAACAGTTGCCATTTTAAAACTATTCCGATTTCTCATCCAGAACATGGTATAACCCTTTATTTATTTAAATATGCTTTTATTACTCTCTTGAAAGTTCTGTAGTTTTTCTCATGCAGAACTAGCACTTTCCCTCTCAGAGTGATAGCTAGATATTTTATGATTTTTCTTGCCACTGGCAATCACATCTTTTTTCATATTATACTGGAAAGCTTTCTAATTGTATAATTGTCTTGATGTGGATATATTACTAAAAAATTTCTAGTTAGTGAATCTGATTCCTTTTCCTCGTTCTTGTTTCCCTGTCTGCTTGACTTTTATCAGTTCTCAGGCTCCTCAGGGGAGCCCCCTCTCTGGGCTTTCCAGGACAATAGCTCTTTGTAGGCTGGATAATAATTATCAGTTTACTTGTCTATGTCTCTCTCCCAGATCTGAGAGCTCAGGAAGGAAAGGGAACATTGCTAGAGCTGTGTTTTTTGACAGCTAGCCTGGGGTCTGATATTAAATATACGTATTGATGAGTGAATGAATGAACGAATGTATTCTGATGACTGTGGTCCATTGTTGGAACTCATTGAGACATAATCATCTTTTAATGAAAGAGTTAGCTCAGTTGTATCTTATTCCAAATAGGATAAGCATGCCTTTTACATCTTCAGTGACAACACCACTGATCAGTGCCCACAAAAATGATGGGAAAAGAAGAACTTCTCAGCAGGTCAGCAGCAGCAGCTTTTTACACTGGCATCAAGTCATTAATATATTCTTGGCAACATTATCCAGCCAGCTACAAATTAACCTAACCCTGCCTGCCATAAAATGTTGACTGCATTTCACCATTTAGTGTGAATTTCAGGAGCGAGATTGCTACCTGCTCTGTTAGAATGAAAATACCTGATGTTACCATATTCCACATTTATATTACTATCGGGGGATGCTGGGTGCACGGTATGAGGGAATTTTGTACTATTTTTGCAGCTTCCTGTGAGTCTTAAACTAGTATAACTGATTCACTTCGTTATAGAGCAGAAACTAACACACCATTGTAAAGCAATTATACTCTAATAAAGATGTTAAAAAAAAAGCAAAATAAATAGAAGTCAGGATGTTAAAAAAATTATAAAATTAAATGTTAGAAAGACATTATGCCAGTGACATTTGTTGCCTTTGCTTATAGGTATCATACCCATACTGGTTCACATCTCTCTCTTCTTAAAGGGCTGCTGAACAAAGAGGTTGGTGGAGAAGGGATAAAGGAAGGATTTCACTTATTTATCTGAGCCTAGAGGGAAGTGCGGGGAGAAACAGGACAGGAGAGGACGGGGTGAGAAATCTCACCCCAGTCTGAGAGGGTGGGAGAGGCGCCATCCAGGGCGGCCGGGGCTCTGCTGTGACCCTCAGCATGCTTGTTTGTGTTCGTGGTCTGCTCTCCCTGTGAAGGAGGAGTTGTCTCTGTCCTGGGAGAGCTTCTCAGAGCAGACACTCCAGCGTTCTGGGATCCACGTGGGGGGCTTGTCCTTGGTAGTGTTTGCCGGCTTGTGGGTGTGAGCTGTGAAGTCAGGGCCGTCCCCCTGGTAGCTGCACATTCAAGGAGACAGTCAATGGCAGCTTTACTATGCTTGACACTTTGCACACAGAGAACTGTCGAGCCACTGAAAGGTCATTGGACAGCAAATACACAGAATGCAGAGATTCCGACCTTACTCGGAGCAGTATGTTACGTCACCAAGAGGAGGGTTTCTCCTTGAATGACAGATTAAGCTAAAATATCAAGGAGTGAAAATGCCATGGGCAAAAGCAACGTGCACAGAATTCAAAGCTGTCAGGCCAGAAAGCATCAGACACTTGAGGTGTTTCCTGAACAGAACCTGGATCCTGTCAGGGTCCTTGCCCACTTCACAACCCTCAACCCCTCCACAGCTCTGGCAGTGGTCCCAGGAAGAGGGATTAGGTTTGCTCATGTGCGGTGTGGGTCTGACTAGGGGCCAGAGGTGAAATTTGGGGGAGCTAGGGGCTGCCAGTAAGAAACCCACTTGAAAGATGGCCCCCCACAGAGACAGAAGGAAGGCTTCATTCAGAAGGAGATCTACACAGTGCCCTTGGATTCTCCATGAGGAAAAGGAGGAAGAGGTCCAAGTGTTCATGAAGCCTACCTCGGGAAGGCTTAGGGGATGGAGGCTGCATGTTAGGATAGGACAGGCTCTCACTAGCCCATAAGGTCCCTTCCTCTGGGGGGACAAAGCCTGGTCTGCAGACAGGTGGGATTTCGGCCCCTACTTGCCCCTTTGGCAGGTAACTGTGTGTCGGGCACAACCAGTGCAATTGCAGAAGGTGGCCCTGCAGCCTCATTTCCTCTCTCCTGCCTTACTTCTGAGCTCAGTATCACCCCACATGCACCAGAAGCTCTCAGATTAATGCACGTGGGACTGAGTGCCTGCCAATCCATCTATCACTCAGCCAGGTGACTGGCCATCAAGCACATCAACTTTGTGTCAACTTGTTCATATGTTCTCTCTTCTCAAGCAGTTGTTGCTGGGAAAACTTTACAGGAGCACAAAAGGGGAGACATCATTGAGACTGGGGGTCAGAAAGTCATGAAAGGACTCTCTGAAGAAGTGAGATCGACTCAACCCTCAGATCTGTCCTCAGAATTGGGTAGGTGAGGGGAACCCACCAAATGCCCATTTCTTCTCCTTATCAAGCAGCCTTATTCCATACAGTTGAAGTTCCTTCCTCGGCATAACTAAGAGATGCCCTACGATAAATACCAAGCAAGGCAGCCCTCTGGAGTGGAATTGGAGGTTGATTGTAAACTTCATTTCACTCCAGTAAACACGGATAAAGACCCTACTATGTGCAAAGCACAGTGTGAGGCACTGAGGGGAAAGCAGACTATGGAGATGAAGGAGACAGCCTCTGCCTTCAAGTATGATTCAGTGAGGAGACACACAGATGAGGTCATCTGTGACACAACCTGGAGTAACAGTCCAAATGACTTCTAAGTGTGTGTTGTAGAATCATAGAAGACAGAAGACTAATTTTGACTGGGGGATTTTTTGGAAAGAGGAGGCAGCAGCTGAGCTGGCCGTTGACAGACAAATTGGATTCTGAACTATGGAGAAGTAGGGAAGTTCCATTCTGGTATAGTAGCATGAGCAAAGTTGCAGGGGCATGGAGATGTATGCCGCCTGCAAGAAGGGCAGGGATTTCAGTGGAGTTTTAGCAGAAGGTTTATGTGAAAGAGAGTAGGTAGGGTGGGCTTGTTGACAGACAAATGTATACTCGATGCTAAGGACTTCAGACCCTCTACTGCTGACTTAGGAGTTCTGAGCAATGAAGAGACATAACCTAACTATTTTATCACTCTTATGACAATGGATGGATATTTCAGAGAAATAAGAGACTGGGTCAAAGGAGATTGGTTCAGAGGCTATTATAGTAAAGATAGATGACAAGGACTTTAACTAAGATAATCATAGCAACAGATGATGATCTTGGAAGACCAACCAGATTCCAGAAGCTTTATTCAGCTAGAAATGACCCATAAGTGTACGGGAAAAAGATGGCTTTAAGGTGGTTCCAAAAAATGCCACCTGATGCCAGAGAAAAGGCAGGAAGATGGGTAGATGTGTGTGGAGGGGTAGAGGATGGTTGGGTACAGTCTGAGTATTATGGAGTGGCAATGTCTACAACAGGGTCACAAATTCAAATACCTACAAAAACCAGGTGGTTTATATGAGAAGAAAGTGCAAGGCAACAGGGAGAAGTGAGGGCTATGGAAAAGAGGAGAAAGGTGTCTCTCCTAATGGGGAGGATGGCAACTCAACCCCAGTTGCCATGGGTGAGGGGGAGGGTCCAGGGCTACCCGATATTTTGCAAAAAAAAAAAAAAAAAAAAATCTAGAAATTCAAAATATTTTAATGATGAAACCCTCTGATTTTAACACAGTACAGCTAAATAAAATACCTGAGGGCAGCATTCAGTCTCAGCGTGCTAGCTGGGACCCTGGTCTGGACACTCTATAGTGGGAGTTTGGGAGGGTTACACTCACCCAGAACACCAGACACGCTGCTGGTAAATGTGTAATTGATAACAGGAGATTTTTCCGCCATCTCCCAGAAGTCAGAAAGATTCCTTCCTGCAAGAACGACACCAACAGGGTCAAATCTTGGGCTCACCTGCTGGAGGGCTGTGTTTAATTCTCAGCTCAGAGAGCTTGTCAAAGAATGGCTGGTGGTTCACCTGACTTTCCTGACATCACACAGATGAAGATGCAGTCAGATTCATTCACTTGACTCACTGCAAGACAGACCAGGATACAACAGGACTTAGCAATGGGCCTGAAGCTGTTAAGTCTTTGGTTGAAATGAAAATTAAGCTGGAAATCTCTAGCTCTGGATGCAATAGGAAAATAAGGCTAACTCCTTATTTAGGAGCCCTGATTTTCAGTCATCCCCGAGTTTCTGGTTTTAATTTTTTTGATGGAGGGAAGGTGCAGTATAATGTAATGGCTAAGGGCAGAGCCTCTGGGGTCAGCGTCCAGGATTGCAGCATTAGCTCTGGCACTGATTAGTTAAGTGAGCATAAATAAACTGCTTGACCTCTCTAAGACTCAGTTCACCTATCTTTAAAATGGGGAGAATTCAAATCCCACAGTGCCTCATTTGCACTTTCCAAAGCCCCAAATCTCCGTAAGATGGAAGGTTCTTGTGTGAGTTTGGTGCCGACTCATTCAGTGGCAAAACCTGAACTGACAGATGCGAGGCTATTGTAGTTTATCTCTCCTTAGTGTAAAGGGTGAACCACTTTGCTAAATGAATATGAATGTGTCTGATTTACAGCAAGCTGTCCTGGATGCTGCTGGAGGTGTTCTGTCAGGTATAGTGTAGACACTCTATTACCCCATCAAAAATCCGAAAACTTCTGAGTTCCTAAGCATACTTGTCCCTGACGGTGCTGCCTAAAGGACTGTGGTTGTGTGGTTGGACATCTCTGGTAGGATGGCTGTGATGATCCAATGAGACAATGTATGTGAAACTCTAAATATGGTGCTTGGCAGAAGAGCTCAGTAAATAGGCATCATAGTAATAATGGTTCTTGTTAACGTGGCCCTATTACTATATGTATTAGTAGTGACCAAGAGCATGGACTTCAGAGCCAGATCACCTGGGTTAGAATTCTATCTCTGCAGAACGATCTTGGCTAGTTCCTTAACCTCTCAGTGCCACAGTTTCCTCACCTGTAAAGTGGAGCTAAATATAGTAGCTGCCCCATATGGCTGTGGTGAGGATCCAATGAGGGAAGCCCTTAGAAGGGTCCCGGGCACCTGAATAGATCTATTATTTCTCTTTCTTCCTCCCGCACTGCTCCTAAAACAGTAGTCGCTCCACAGTGTGGGATGCCACCTTTCTGACGAGACCAAGAGTTGGGCTATTGACTGCATCTGTGCTCTTCAAAGTAGGCCCCCAGGGGAGTGTGAATTGCCTGCGGGTTATATGAAGCCGCCTTATAACTGAAGCGTATCTTTCTCAATTGTATGTCAGACATGAGTTTAGGCTCCATAGAGATCTAAATCTGAATTCTGAGCCAACCTTGAGCAAAATATTCAACCTCTCTGAATCTCAGTTTTCTCGTCTTTAAAATGGGAGTATAGCTGTCCAGTAGAAGCCGTGTTTTGAGTCTGCCTAACTACCCCCAGTGTTGAGCCTCGGATTCTTCCTCCAACTTTTTGGACCCCAGGAATAGCTTTGATAGGAAGATGGAAGCTTCAAATACTGTACTGGTGGTTGAAACTGTACCACGCTGATTGTCTAAATTAAACTTACATTAAAGTTCCTGGCAGCCCGGCCTATGGTAGGGATCGGGGTGGGAAGTTGACTAGGTTTTATTCCATGATGAATGCCAAATCTCACATTTGCCAAGCATTTTCAAGATGAGCACACCTGAGAGGATGGAGGGTGACTTTAAAATCTCTGTGAGGTAGCTGGTAGAATTTCCAATGATGTCCACCAGTAGGGCTGTGAAATCTGTAAGACAGATTGAGGAGGTTTAAATTTCTGAGACTTGGTTTAAATTTCAGAGACTTGAAGGGAAATGTATATTGTATTTGGATTTTTCAGAGTAGATTTTACAAGTTTGATTTAGTTCGGTGTATTGGGGATTATTAACAATCATAAAAAGAAATACTACTAGTTATTTTTCAAGGCTTGATTTCAGGCAGGCAGAAAACTTTTGGATCCACCATCATAATCTCCTTTCTCCTCCATTTCCCTCCCCCCACCCCAGATCCTTCTCTGCCAACACCAGAGAGCTTTGCAAAACCATAGTGTTGAATAATGGTTTTTCTGATTTGTTCCCCCCCCCCCCCATTATTTCGTCTAATTGATTTAGAATACCAAATTCATTGGATAGGAAGCAGCCCTGCAGACATGGGATGTAAATTTACATAACTTCAGATTTTCAAAATGATACCAAATTTAGTGGTGGATTATAAACTATGAACTATCAAAGGAGACAAGGACTTTACACAAAATAGAACAAGGGAGCTCTTCTCCTGCCCTCCACATTCAGAAGTCTGATGGGAGGAGATTGAGATAATTTTACAAAATTTCAAGCTATAAAATCTTCGAGAACTTTCTCTCTGAGCACGTTCTGAACAGGTCTTGACATGGTGGGTGCCATTGACCAACGAAAGTTCCTAATGCACTTCCTACCCACACAGCTGCTGCCTCTTCTGCTGTTCAGTTATGGTTTTCCAGGACCCAGCAAGTTCTTGGCTTCTAAAACAAGGAGTACTTATTCTAGGAGCCCCAAACTGTGAATTTCTAAAGAAGCTTCTGAGGGCCCAGGGATAGTTTCCCATCGTGCCTTGTCTAAATGCTTCTTTTACTCAGTAACGGGGTTATGGGCTGGGGTCAGGGGCAAGCTGACTTGAAAATATAGAACCCAGACCACTGAAAATACAGAACCCAGAGAGGCATGAAAACATGATGTGACAACCAGTGGAATGTATAGCATGTAAGGCCAACAGGAGGTGGGCGCTACCCTATGTGAGCCGGAGCCATGGTGACATGCCACCTTACCACACGTGCACGGGTGCGTGGTTAGTCTCCTAGAGGAAGATGTGGTGGGCCACCTGTACAGGCGTGGACACGTGGCCATGCAGAATGTAGGCATCCTTCTTTATGTCTCTTTAGACCAATCTGTTTATAGTCACATTGTAGAAACTGAAGAGGGGTAGTATTTCATTACTTACGCCGTCTATTTTCTTTCTAATTCTCAAAAGTCTCCTTTGTTTATTAATTCATTCATCTAATAAACATTCATGGAGTGTTGGCGTATGCCAGACATCTTTTAGGCACTGGAGGATTAAGACACCATCTCTGCCTACCCGAAGCTGAGATTAGTGAGAGAGAGAGAGACTCATAGATAGACCAAGAAACTGCAATCCACTATTTATATTACATAGAAGCTATGAGCATGGCTTTGCAGCCCAGACACCAAGCATGGAGTCCAGATTCTGCCCAAGTTTCAGAGAAATGATGGAACTTTCCCAAGGTCCCAGAGCATGTGGCAGGGCTTGAATTTGATCTGAGGTCTGCCTTGTGCTAAAGCTCCTGTTCTTCCCAAAATTTCCACCACTGCTCATACAAATCTCCTGCTCAATACATTTGTCAACTCTCCTTTTAGAACTGCTTTCACAATCGGGTCCTAGGCTTGGAAGAATATCAGTTATCACTGCCTCAAACATATTCTTTGTTTTGATGAAAATATGAACTATCTATTTTACTAGCAACACACAGATGAATGATTTCTGACTACTTTCATATATAAATAGAAAATAGGGAAAAAACCCTTTTTGTCTGTCTTAATTGGTAATGATTTAAGAATGTCTCTTGGTACTCAGTGTTGGCGAGGGTGTGGAAAAACACACACTTTCAAACATTACTGGTAGAAGTGTAAACTTCTGCAAGATTTCTAGAGGAAATTTTAGCAGTTTGAAGCATCACAATATCCTCTTCCTGTCAGACAACAGTTCTGTTTTGAGGACTGTATCCTACAGTGATAATCGGGCAAACACTGCAAGTGATTGTACACAGGTTCTCATCACAGCATTGCTGATAAATTTGCTGTAAAAAAAAAAGTTTCCATCAGGAGGAGATAAATTATATTACGGTACATTCTTTCAATGAATACTGTGAATTCATATGAAGGATGAAGCATATTTATATCATTGAATGGAATGTTTTTTAAGACATGCTGATTAGTTGAAAATGGAATATCAAATTTCATAGAAAACATGGTAGATACTGACAGCTGTCTCCCAATATCCATCCTCTCATTTTCCTTTAGTAAGAAAACATGAAATTTCAGTTGGGCACATGGTAGTTTAACGTAATTGAAAATTACATTTTCAAGCCTGCTTTGCAGGTGAGTGTGGCCGTGTGACTCCGTTCTAGACAATAGAATGTGAAAAGAAGCAATGTGAAAGGTTTCCAGACTGAGTTTATATAGTGAATGGGTGTGCCTTCCAGTTCCTTTCTCCCCTTCCTTGTAGCTGGAATGTGAATGCGGTGACAAACCACCCTGGACTATGAGAACGAGGGCTAGACCTTATGGAAGGCAGAGCAACAAGCTAGAGGGAGCCTGGGCTCCTAAACCATCAAACCATCAGAGCAGTCCTGGTATGCTTACCTAGACTGTCACACATGAAACTTCTACCTTCTGTAAGTCACCCTGTTTTGGGGTCATTTGTTATAATAGCCTAGCTTGTTTTCTAAATAATATAGAGAAGGTACAGTAGGATGGGTAGATAGATGGCCAGATGAATGGGGTAGGTAGGTGGAGTAGGTAGGTAGGTTAGAGAGGTAGGTTAGATATGTAGTTGACAGATGGCTTAGATAGATGAATTAGAGAGAGGTGGCTTAGATCACCTTGGGTAATGTGATTACCTATGGATGTTGGGATATCAGGTGTCTCTGATATTTTGATTATACCTTCCATGTTGTATGGAAGGTATAATCATACCTTCCATACAACACATTATTTTTCACATCACAATATATTATTTTTAAATCAAGAAAATTTAAGCTCGGGCTTCCCCGGTGGTGCAGTGGTTGAGAGTCCGCCTGCCGATGCAGGGGACACGGGTTCGTGCCCTGGTCTGGGAAGATCTCACATGCCGTGGAGCGGCTGGGCCCGTGAGCCATGGCCGCTAAGCCTGAGCGTCCAGAGCCTGTGCTCCGCAACAGGAGAGGCCACAACAGTGAGAGGCCCGCGTACCGCAAAAAAAAAAAAAAAGAAAAATTTACGCTCACGATATATTATTTTTTAAATCAAGAAAATTTAACATCACAATATATTAACATCACAATATACTTTATCATCACAATATATTATTTTTTAAATCAAGAAAATTTAAGCTATTTTCATTAAGGAAAAACACACTCAGAGGAAGGCTATATGTCAGAGTTGAGAATATTCAGAAAACAATCCATGTCTGAAGATTATCCACAAACACATCTTCCCCAAAGGTTTTGAACCATGGCAAGATGTTGGCCAAAGTGTACAGCCTCTCAGGGTAGCAGTTGGAGGGGAATCAGCGTTAGGCACGTTGTGACATGTTAAACCTTGTGAAAATCTCTATGGTTTACCAGGGGAGCAAGATGCTATTTTATCAGTGGTAACGATCCATGGATCAGTTCTTTGCAAATAAGCATTGCATGTGTATGAAAATACACTTCAGCTCACCAAACAGAATTACAAAATTCCCCAGCAGATGTGACTCCAATTTTTAAATTTTATTTTTATCTTTCACACAATCAGGGCAGGGACTCAACACCAGACAAAACTTGGCCTCTAGCCGAGGCTAATAGATGGTGAGAAAGATGTGATTATGAAGAACATTTTCCCTCCCAAATGTAGTTTGTTGATGAGATTCAGAGGGTGAGTTAAATAAGAAGATGGATATTAGGTACTTATTGCAGAGTGTGGCATCCAGTACTTATTAAACAATAATCATTATCCTCTCTGTACAACATTTGGTCCATAAATTCCTCCTTGGGGAATCTATCCTCAGAAAGTAATCTAAAACAGGGAAACGTTTTAGACACGAAGATGTCTAATACAGGATTTTTTTTATATTAAGAGAAACCTAGAATCCACCCAAAAGTTCAACAGCGTACTAGCTAAGAAAATGCTCACATTCATAGGTTATGTAACCATTACACGTTTGCAAAGAGTTTGTAATATCATGGAAAATATTTTTAATATTATGTTAAGCGAGGGGAAAAAAAAGCAGAAGACTTTTTCACCTTGAGTCTTTGCTTCCCTTACAGACTGTTCTTTAACAGGCAGCCAAAGGGCTCCTTTTAAAATGTAAGTTAGATCACGTCACTCCTCTGTGTGGACAATCACAATGGCTTCCTTCTTCATAGTAAAAGTGGAAAACCTTGTGGCAGACTATAAACTTCTACATGATCTGCAACACCTTTCCTGCCTTGCCCCCACAATTCTGAACTCATTTCTCACGGCTCTCTGGCTCACTCGCTGGCCTTTCTGGTCCTCACTCTGCCTTTGCATGTGTACACGCATGCATTTATGCATTCTCTATGGCTGTCTTCCAAGATTTGACTGTACCGTAGACTGTTCAGCCGTTTTCCTAATGATGGATGTTTAGGTTGTTCTCAGCTTTTGCTCTCAAACAATGCTACCTTTTGTTCTTGCCCCTTTGTGCAGATGTAACTATTGCTCTAGGGTAGAAAACCAAGAAAGGAACTTTCCAGGACAATGGATGTGCACATATTTAAGCATAATAGATATCATTTCATTTTCTGATCTTAGTCTAAGGAGAAAACAAATAATTCAACCTTATTTAAAAGGGCACAAGCAAAATCAGGGCCGCCTGCAAGCCTCAAAGTGAGTTCTACCCACCTGATAAATCGTTGGTCCGGTTGTTTAAGCAGTAGCAGTACCGTGAGGGGAATTTGGCCGGGTCCACAGTCTTCAGGTTAGAAACTGTGAAGAGAAACGAAGCACATAGCAACCCTGACACATGGCCTGGCCTGCCTACCCATCGCTTACCATTCTCGCCACCAAGAAAAGATGGAGGAGGGGGCATAGGAGATGGATGGATAGGGAATTTGGGATTAGCAGATGCAAACTACTATATTTAGAATGGATAAACAACAAGGCTGTACTGTATAGCACAGGGAACTCTATTCAATATCCTGTGATAAACCATAATGGAAAAGAATATGAAAAAGAATGTGTATATGTATAACGGAGTCACTTTGCTGTGCAGCAGAAATTAACACAACATTGTAAATCAACTATACTTCAATAAAATAATTTTTTTTTTAAAAAGAAGGAGAGCCAGCACTTACTGTTGTAAATGGCCACAGAAAACTTGTGGAAGGCAAAGGAGCTGTGGGAAGTAACACTTAGCAAGGAGAAAAATTGCTTGCTGTCTGTCAGAAACATTGAGATGAAGAAACAGTAAATGCCCACTAACAATAATAACAGTAATAGAAATTAGCAAACTGATCATGGAAATTAATAATACGATGAACAAATAAAAATATAATAATAAACACTGAAAATAATAAACAAAAATCAAAGCAAAGCAAAAACAAACAAAAAAGGCAAAAATACATGTCCCTTGGCTATATTTCCTAAACTGTCCTTAAACTTTTGCAATTGTCTCATAATATAGTTATGAGTAGAGATGCCTACACAGATGCTGTGTTTGGAGTGCAGCTTGCTCTCAAAGTGCTGGCAAACCTCCTACTTCATCTGGATGTTTTCAGTCTCATCATGAGTTAGGCAGGACACACATTCTCTGCTCTGAACACAGAGGACCCGAGACACACAGAGATGTGACGGGTCTTGCCCAGGTCGTGGAGAGTCCAGAGGCGAAGCAGGAACAAGATAAAAATGGGCCTGGATTGTTCTTTTAAAACAACTGTTTACCTTTTAAAGCTCTGATCAGCATCCCGTTCACCAGCTCTGTCAGGTTAAGCGCAGACAGATCAACCGACATTGCAGGCAGTTCTGAAAGAGATTCAAAGATAACGTCATCAGCAGGCCTTTCTTGGCAAAAGGAAAAGTTCCTCATTTCCGACATTCAGGCAGATGTGCCTCCTCTTTGGACATGAACTCACACCCTGTGCTGGGCACAAGGATTTGGAAGATAAAAGGCAGTTCCTGTCCTCAGGAGGTGACAGCTAATGGCATGTACTGTGACAAGCAAGAGTAGGTAGAAGTTTGGGTGAAACACAAGGAATGCTTATTTTAGGGAATATTTTCTCTCTGCATTTGGAGAGAGTAGAGATTGGTGGGAGATGCTTATATACAATATAAGCCCTAGGAAATTGCAGGAGTTCTCAACGTGCTGTATAATATAAATAATGACATTGTCTAACAGAGGAGCTCGGGGCTTCCCTGGTGGCGCACTGGTTGAGAGTCCGCCTGCCGATGCAGGGGACACGGGTTCGTGCCCCGGTCCGGGAAGATCCCACGTGCCGCGGAGCGGCTGGGCCTGTGAGCCATGACTGCTGAGCCTGCGCGTCCGGAGCCTGTGCTCCGCAACGGGAGAGGCCACAACAGTGAGAGGCCCGCGTACCAAAAAATGAAAAAACCAAAAAAACAGAGGAGCTCGGATCCTGGCTGGCCCTTGGCATCACTGGAAAGATTTTTTTCCAGTTCCACAATCCTGATGCTTGGGCTCCATCCTCAGAGGTTCAGATTCAATAGGTCTGGGATGTGTCACAGACATTACTACCTAAATCCATCTATCCATCCATCCATCCAATTGCCGAGATACTGGTAGTGTGCAGCCAAGTGGAGAGACGCTGCTTCTCCCAGCTGTTCCCTGAAGACTTGGAAACAGCAGTTGACAAAGGGGACATGAGAGCTTGACGCTGCTCGTCATGTTTTGGCAAACACTGTCTTCTTCATCTCTTACCTAATGTTCAGATAACTGTGGCTAGAGCAATCTGAGGATTGGAGGGATGCCGTCGCTCTGCTGCGGGGGTGAGAATGGAGGTCCAAAGAGGCGGGAGAAGTAATCTCAGGGACCCAGGCCGCCCATGGAGCACCGGGGGTGGGGTGGGCAGTACTCACCTGTGGCATCCAGAAAAGCGACCCCCTTTTCTCTACTCTCGTCTCCTCTGAGGCCAGGCACTGGGAAGAGAAAAGGCTTCAGGAGGGAAGTAGAGCCTTTGACCCCAGCCCCACGTTGCTGGAGGGGCCTTGAGGTCTGTACCGCAGCTGCCCTCCGGTTTAGGGAAGGTCCGCATCACTGGGGGCACTGTGGTCCCTCCCCCTGAGATTCTAGTCTCCTTGAACTGGACGTGGTCTAGAAATGCAGATTTTAATAAACGGACAAGGTGATTCCCATGCAGGGAGGCTAATCCACCCCACCTCTTTACCGGGTTGGGAAACCAAGGCTCAGAGAGGAGAAGAAACTTGCCTAAATTTGCACAACTGAGTCCTGGTAATGAAGGGCCAGAACCTACTTCCAAGGTATCAGGCCATTTGCCCACTCAGCAAATTTCATGCTGCCAAAGAAGACAGTGTCAAAGGAAATCTTGAGATACCAAAGGCGTTCATTCATTCTTTATTCATTCGATAAACACTCACCTAGGGCTAGGCAGTACGGTAGGTGTTTGGTATAAAGAGGCCAACAGGAAGGGACTGTGTCTCCATGGCTGCAGAGCCTACTGTCTGTGGCTCAGAGGGAGGAGGGAGATTCACGTGTAATCCCACGAGAAGAGTGTCAAACAGGGACCAGCAGGATGCTGGGAGCACCTCTATCAGAGAACCCAACCTGGTCTGGGGGATGGAGGAGACCTCACTGCGGAAGTGACGGAAAGCTAAAACCTGAAAAGTCAGCTCTTTTGGATTAGACGCCATTTACTCATACTGCATCCGTTACTATTATTGTTGCAATGATTATTTTTTCATGTCACATTCCAATGGAGAAGGTGATTTATGTCCATTTTATAGATGGAAAAACCAAGGCACAGAGAGGCTGAAAAATGTGTTACAATGTCACAGAGTAAGTCAGCATTTAGGACCGGTCTAGTTACCATTGCACCAAGGAAAGCCCCATCTTTTTCCGTCTTAACTTCTTTATTTCCAGACACTGAAATAAAAGTTTTCATGAATAAAATAGTACCGTGGAAACAGAGCCTCAGCAATTTATAATATCCTTAAAACTCATCTTATCCAACACTACCTTTGAAGGATGAGAAACTGAGACCCAGAATGTTACGTGATGTATCCAAATCCCACATCTGGCCAGTCTCCCTGTGTCCACCTCCTCCCAGACCCTGGCAGACACCTTTCTTCTCTCTGCTTCTATGAGTTTGACGATTTTAGATTCCCCATAGAAGCAGCATCATGTGGTATTTGTCCTTCTGTGACTGTTTATCTCACTTAGCAGAAGGTTTATCCACATTGTGGCAAATGGCAGGATTCCCTTCTTTTTTAAGGCTGTATAATATTCCACTGTGTGCATATACTCCATTTTCTTTATCCATTCGCCCGTGGATGAACGTTTAGGTTGTTCCCTCTGCTTTCTGTGTACTCTGTTGGAACTTAGGTTCAGTCAACCGTTGTCAGCCAGTTTGGCCTTTCACAGATGATCGGGTTTTTTGGTTAAATATCAGAGCTTTGGGGTTAGAGCTAGGGGGAGTCTGTGGATGTCCTTCTTTACAACACAACATGGCTACTGGAGGTGGCGGTTATGTTCTCGATACAATTAAAGGAAGTCTGAGACAGATGTTTATTACCAAGCAGGCCTGAAGCTGTCAAACAAACCCCCCCTCTGGCTTGGGAGAGTCCGTCCGGCTCTCCCCTCTCAGGCACACTGAGGGGCCCTTGACACCCACAGTCTACTCTGAAGCAGCTGCAGGGAGATCTGTAGGAGATACCAGCCGACCTCACCTGTTACCTGACCAGGAAGCAGAGCCCTCTGTCAGGGTGAGGGACCGGAATCATCTGGGCTCTGGATTGCCAAGCTCCAGGGATGCTGTAAGCTGCTGGGTTTGTGGGATTCTTAACACCTGTCAAATCCAAATGGTGAGCCCTGGGCTGCAGTCTTCCTAACCAAGAGCCTTTCTTAACACTGCTCATTTCATTAAGGAAAAATTATTTCCACCACTTCTTTTCATAATTACAAACCCATGGGTGGATTTTGGTAACAGTATTTGAAGAGTGATCTAAATACCCCAGAAGCAGGGATTTCTGGATAGGATGCTACGGACATTTTTCAGATAAGGTGCTGGGCAGATAACATAAAGCTGTTGTTCTCTTTTTGGATAAAATGACCACCATAGTAGTATCTTTAAGGTAGATGGTATTAGCACTCTTCATACTTAGTCATGCTTAGTATTTTATTGCTTTTCATGGTTTATGATTACCTGTGAAACAGGAATTGTTCCCACTTAAAGAGAAAATTAAAGACCCAAACGGGAAATATTTGCTGAAAATTACCCTGCTTATAGAGAAGTAATTGGTACAACTGGTGTCTTCTGGAGAAGGAAGTGGCTGACTGGTGGAGCATTTAACTTTTACACCTTTGTACCTTCTGCATTTTGAACTATATGAATGTACTAACTAATTAAAAGTAAATTAAACATTTAGCATAAAGAGCGATTTCTGCTACCACTCCCCATCCCCAAATTCAAAAGTCTTAAAAAAATTATCCTGCTTGTTTGCCAAAACGTTAGGAACAGAAACCCAGCGCCTGACTCCTCTCTGTCTTTTACCTTGTCCTGCATTTGCTTTACAACCAAATTCATACCATCAGAAAAAAAAGTCAGAGAAAGGTGGGATTATTACAAAAGTGATGATGTCAAATAACAATATCTCCCTTTATGAAATCGTCTATTGCTAATAGAAGGTCACAGTTTTTGTGGATTTAATAAGGTCATGAGAATCCGGGTGTACCATGAACCATAAAGCAATGAGCAGCTCATGGGAACTATTACTATGACTGTTAGAGCTGGAGATACAGGCACAGTCTCCATCTTACAGACAGAGAAAGTGAGGCTCAGAGAAGCCAAGGAAGTTACCCAAGACAGAGTAAACTAAGAAGGACCACCTGCCCATTTACATGTTGTAAGTAGGAAGGTCATGACATTTTCCTTCTTGGCTTCCCCTTTAAAGGCAGACTCTAAAGGAAGAAAAGATTTCATCAGAGAAATTATAACCCAGACATAACATCAGAGAAAATTTAACCCAAAATAATCCTTTTAAAGATGAGAAAATTATGATGTGGACTTACTTGAAATCCCACATGGAGTTTGCTCATTCATTCAATCATTTCGTCACTAAATATTTATTGACTAACTATAATAATACTAATAGTTGATCATGTTACTAAGCCTCTGGACTTTAATAGGCATTGTGTGTGTTAGATGCTGGTATAATATGAGCAGATAGATACAGATTCCATCCTTATGGAGCTTATAGTCTAGTTGGGAAGGCCAACATGAAGGAAATTAAGACCCATGGATATTATTACAAACAATGTTAGATACTTTGAAAACGTTTTGAGAGTACGGAACAGGGAGCCTGATCTAATCTCAGGGATCTGAAAGCCGTCCCTGGGAGGTGACTTTCAGCTGAGATCTGAAAGACGAGTAGTGTGTGAGCAGGACGTACCTGGCTGAGGGGGTATTCTGTGTACAGGTAACAGCCTGAGCCCGGGGTCTGAGATGGGCATGAGTATTATTTTATGAACTGAAAGAAGGCCAATGTGATGGAGCATAAGGAATGAAGGATATGAGGGACCGTAGACGATGGGGAGGTGGGCTGGGTCATGTAGAGCACGTAAAGGACTTAGGATACTGTCCAAAGAGAAGTAGAAAGTCATTGAATACTTTTGGGGAGGAGGAGGGAGAAATGAGGGAGGACTCGGAAGGTGGCTTAATGAATGTATGAAAAGGTGGCTCAGGCTGGTGAGTGGAGAATGGATCATTGAGAGACAAGAGGGGAAGCAAGGAGCTGCTTTGGGAAGCTCTCCTGGTGGCCTACCAAAGAGAAGATGATGCTTTGTGTAAGGATGGTAACAGTGGAGATGAAGATAATTCTGTTGCATAAATGGGACTCAACTGCAGCAGAATAAATGGGGAATTTATTATTGCCATTTTTATCAAACTCGTTTGGATTCTGGGCTGAAACGCTGGCTGCTACAATTCTCTAAAGCACAATGAATACCCAAACATAGTATACAGAACAGACACTTGAACTTCGACCAGACCCACCTGTATTGTAAAGGGACAGGACACATGTGAGGCCCATGCACAGCCTTACCAGTGGACAATGTAGCAGGAAGCCTGGCATGTCTTGGATACTCTGGTCCACCTGGAAGCAAGCAGGCAAGCACTTGGAGGAAACCAGCTGGATTACTAACCACATTGATGCAGAAGATCCTTGAGAATACTGCATGGGGAGTCATTGGAAACACAGTTGATGAAAGCCGTTGTATAGTTAGGATAGGTGAGGTTATGCTGAGGTAACAAATTAACTCTGCAATCTCACTGGCTTAATTCAGCCATAAAAGTCGATTTCTTATTGATGGTCTGTGCCCTCTGCGTATTGGTGGGGAACTGCCCTTCTCGCTCACTCAGGGGCCCTGGATGATGGAGGTTCCGCCTTCTTGTAGGTCTCCATCCCTGTGGCCTCCTTAGTCATTGACTCATAGTGGCAGGGGAAGGGAGAGACCTGGAGGATTATGCACCAACTCTTAAATGCTCTGGCAGGAAGTGACACGCTTACATTCATGTACAGCCTCCACCAGAATTACTCATGTGGTCCTGAATAACTGCAGGAAGTCTGGGAGGGGTGCAGGCATATTCAGGGAGAATCAGTGTCTCTTCCATGGGTTTTCCCGCTGCTTAGATGGAAAGTACCCTTCAAATACAGCATCCCTGCTGCTTATAAATAAGAAAATAATATTAATACACACGTACACGTGAGTGTTCACACTCTCTTTCCTTCACTGCAGCACTGTGTGCCAGGCTTTCACCTGGGCATTTGCTGCACAGAATCAGTATGACCGTTAAAAGCCGCAAAGCTGAGACTAACAGGAAGGATGGTGAAAATTTATTGAGTGCTTTCTGTGTGCCAGACACCACACAGAACGCTGCCTGACGCACACTGTCACGTCGTAACTACACAGTCTTGACGTGTAGGTATTCATGTATTACCCATTTAATAGGGGCTGCGCAGACTTGATTTGAAAAGAGTAGAAATTTGCCAGTGGTAGAGAACGGAATAGATCTGGAAGGTGACTTGGGGAAGAGGAGAAATGTCAAGAGAAAGTGCGCTGGGGTGAAAATTGTCTCAGGAATTGAGCATCTTCACGGAAAGTTATATTTTAAGAAGTTTTGCTACCCATTAGGGATAGAACCACCTTTGGAATTTTCTTGAAAAATCCTCGTAAACGTTTAAATTTGCTTTGTAATTATCGGTAGACGCTTCAGTGGTGTTTCTTCTGGACGTCACCCTGGACAGAGAGAGGCCTCACAAGGCTGGGGGGCGCTTCCTTGGAGTCCTCCCATTCTCATACATCTATCTACTCTTTGAAGCTTGGTTTTCCTCATCAGCAAAATGGGGATAAGAGAACCTAGCTCATAAGGTCTTTGTGAGGATTTAAGATAATGAACCTAAAGTACTTAACCCAGTGCCTGGCACATATAGGCGCTCGGTACATAACACCAGTCATCACGGGCGGGCAAGGTCCCCCTTAAGAGCCTGGGCCACCGTGGGACACTGGGGCAGAGGAAGGAGCAGGAGTTAGGGTCTCACACACTTGATTTGCATCTTGAATGCCCTCTGGCTCTAGGTACGTAACCTGCATTCACTCAAAAAATCTTTGTTGAGCTCATGGCATTGGTGTTAAAGCACAGGCCCCGGAGCCCAGCTGCCTGGCTTTGCTCCTTGGGTCACTCCTGCTGTGCAAGTTATTAAACCTCTCTCTGTCTTAGTTTCCTCACCCAAGGCTGTTATATTTATAAAATACAGGGAATGGTATATGGTGCAGAGCAAAGGCCGTGTAAATTCTTAACAAATAAATAAAAGTGTTGGTGCTTCAAAAGATGGTGGTACTCCAAGAGTAGGAAAGAGGATTGTACTTCCATCCATATTCCCCATATGGATGGAATTACAGTCTTCAAAGTTATATCTTACAAAGACTGGATCAGAGGTCCAAAAATTTCCTCTGAAACGGAGTCATCATTATTTCACTGCATTTCCCATGGCCATTTTTTTATTTTCTTTTTTTTTTTAAGTATAGTTGATTTACAATATTGTGTTAATTTCTGCTGTGTGGCAAAGTGATTCAGTTATACATATTCGTTTCCATTCTGGTGTATCACAGGCGTTTGAATATAGTTCCCTGTGCTCTGCAGTCGGGCCTTGTTGTTTCCCATGGCTATTTTTGAATACACAGCCAGTGACTCTGGCATAAAAGCTAGTCATGTAGTGACACAATGACGATAATAACGTACTCAGTGGGGTCAAAGTATGCTGCCCCCAAATATCCCACTTTGGCATATGGATTATTTTGATCTAAAGCCCGTTGAGAATCAACAGGTGCAGAAAGAAGCCTTCTTGGAGCCTCCGCTCTCCGACTAAGAGCAGGTCTGCCATAAGTTCTCCTTCCTGGCGGGAGGGGGAGTCTTATGGCCATGAAGGGAATGGAAAGTTGGCACCGAGATGGGACTGCACAGACGAACCTCACTAAAATAACTCTTATCTTCCACTAGTTTCCCCATGTATTTACCTTTCCACGATTTAGCACCCTAGAAACTCAAAACCCTTTTTATTTCTTGTCACTTCCCCACAAACTTAACATCCTTCTGTTAAAATGATATAGAAGCTTCAGGGTCTGACCACCTTTTTGAGGTTTTCATTTATTTCTGTGGTGCTCCCATCCCATATGTATATGAAATAAGCCTTTTTTCCTGTTAATCGTTTTGTCATTTCAATTTGCAGAGCCCCAGATACTGAACCTAAGAGGGTGGAGGAAAGAGTTATTTTTTCCTCTCCAACAGTATAATTTACTGAATCTCTACTTTTGGCTATCATCTCTGTTATTTTGCCTTCTCAAGCATCCCGTGAGATACTTCAGTTATACAAGAGAGGGCCCCGGGGATCGGTGGGAGAGCCCCTTACTCGTGGTCACGTGGCTCTAAGTGGGAGAACTGGGGTTTGAACCATGGTCTCCCAGATACTAAAGTTTGTGTCCTTTTTTTACCATGTTCTGCTCTGTTCTCCTGCCCTTCAAAATACCAGCCCAGAGTGCCCCAAAGGACCTGAGGTTGGAAACACACAGAATTGATGATTATTTCAAAGCATTTTGGTGGGTCGAAGGCTAAGAAGTCCGGTCACACTCCCAGGAGAAGGGCTGAGAAGTGTCGTTGGGATCCGTGATCCGTGAATCAGCCCAAGAGGCTTGTGAAATGCATTCACAGTCTGTCTGTGTCTGACTGGCAGTAGCCCTGGAGCTGGAAATGTGGGTGGTCAGAACAAAGCTGCTGGAGCCTTAATTAAACATTGTATCACTTCCGGTTAATGGGGATCACCAATCAACAAAGGCTAGTCTAGCCTGCCAAGGAAACCTACCTTTCTCACTGGACTTTGCAGCCGAAAGATGGCTAGTCAGATACAGAATAATGATAATGCCAGTGTCAGGGTCAAAACTCACACTGAAGTCCATCTTGTTTGGACCAGCCACAGTCAGAGCAGCATGTTCTCAATACATTGTAACGGCGCACTTGAGACAGGAAGACAAGAGTACAGCCATTTTGAAAAAGGACTGGGGGAAGACCTTGGGCCAAACGGGCCTTGGAAGCAAAAGAACAAAGGCTCTGGGGTCCTGAGTCCCAGAGACAAAAACCAGGCTCACAGGAGTTCAAGATTAACTTTATCTCTGTTACACCAAGGAGTGTACCTAGTTGCCACAAGACAGGAAGCTCAGCTATCAATTTTAACCTTATCTGTTCCAATGTTTTCTTGCAGAAAATTCTCAGGCACTCCTTTTCCCTCACCAAAGCGCTCCCTGTTCCCGACAGCCACCATGGAGCCACCTGGTGCGATCAAAGAAGTTTGATGATTTCTGGAAATTAACCAGTGATGAGACAAACCCTCCCTATTGTTGTAAAAGCAACTCGCCCCTTCTCAGGGAGCTGCCACTTTCTTCCACCTTCTCCCTTGTGCACAAGCTCTCTCTTTTAATAAAAGAGGGAGCATTGCTTACCCGAGAGTCTTGTGGAAGTGACATTCATGTCTATGGTATAGCATCCAAGAATCTGGAGATAACACTTGCACTCAGCATCCTTCCTAGTGAGGACCAGCTCCCTCTCTGTGAGGAGGACCCAGAGGCCTGAGGCCGTACACCCCGCAGTCGGCTCCACTGCCCGGGGGAGACACTGAAAGGGGAGGTTCTGGTTTTTCAAAAATAGTTCATTCAGAAAAAGAAGCAAAGAATCTATTATTTCTTGACTATCTGAGGTGCCAGGAATTTTATATATGATATCTACTGGTCCTGGAAGTAACCCCACTTAGGGGTTATCATCCTTATTTTATAGTTGGAGGAAAGCAAGGCCCAGGCAAGCAACCGACCCCTGGGAACGCAGCTCAAAGAGCCAGGAGTGGAATCCTGGTCTGTTTGCCGCCAAAATCCATGATTGATTGGCCTCTGAGAAAGTATAGTTTCTGAGCTGTTGCCTTGCTGCCAGCCATTTTTCAGGGCATTCTTTTCTTCTCATTCCAATTCTTTGGATTAAAGATCATGTTTCCTTTATCACAGATGTGAGGACAAGCCATCCTCCCGGCTGAGGACTGCATTAAGATGCTAATCGATAGCTTAAGGGAAAAAATGGAAAGAAACAGACTGTGATCCAGGGGTGAGTTTTAGCTTAAGTGCAGAGTAAGGGATTGGGTGATAGAAACTCCTCTCCTACCATTCGGCAACCAGGAGCCCAGAGTTTGGGAATTAGAGCAGATGCATTTCTTATCTGGCTTCATGCTTTGGGGAGTAGAGGGAACCGAAGGGTTTGCAAATCTCTACGGTATGTGACTTACCTGTCTCCCGAGCAGGATAAAGGACTTCAAAGAATTTAAGCAGCCTGAAAGATTAACAGCTAAGTCAGAGCTGTGGGGTTTATATGAGTTCTTAGTGAAAGATACAGAGGGTGGAGGTGGGGAAAGGCTTGATAACTTTGCTTTAAGTCCTCTGGAAAAAAAAAATGGAATAATAATCCTACCAAGAATTCACAGCGGTGAAACCGGATCACCTCCATTGGAGAAAAATGCCTTTGCTGTCCGTGAACAGAATGACAAAGCACTGATTCAACGTGGGATGGGAAACCTCTTCTGACAGTAATTACATGTATTGAAGGAGCAGAACAGGATCACAGGGTGATGATTTCCCCTTCCTGCTGTAAAGGTCTGTGAGCCAAGCATCACCTGTCCTGTGAGCCAGTGCAAGTCTTCTGAAGAACTGGCTAGGGGTTGCTCGTGAATTTTAGCAGGGTGGGCAAGCCTGGCCCCATTGCCTGTTCTTATAAAGCCGAAAATGGTTCTACATTTTTAAACAGTTGTAAAGAAGCAAAAGAAGAAGAGTATTTCATGATGTGTAAAAATGATATAAATTTGAATTTCATTATCCACATGTGAAGATCTCTTTGGCTGTGATATGCTCCCTTCAGCTACCCACACCCCAAACTTTACCTCATCCTTTTTATTCTCACCTCAGACCTCCCCGTCACCAGGAAGCCTCTGATACCCTCCCATCCCATTAAGGGTAATATTTTTGTATTTGTCTTATTGTGCTCTATTGGGATGATCTCTTTGCTCGTCTGTCTCCCTCAGTAGGTTGTGTGTATGTGTGTACCTTCAGCGCAGGTACCCTTGTACCTCAAGCATCCTGCCTCCCCAGCACCTACAGTGGTTCAGGCCGGCTGGAACCCACGCAGGAGGTGGGGGACAATGAGGATATTGTTGGAAAACGAGGCAGGGGCCAAACACTGTCTATGGGAATGGTCTAGGAGAGCCGTTTGTGTGCCAGACC